ATATATATATATATATATATATATGCAGTTTCTTAAGCAGGTTATGTTGTATTATAGATGGAACAAGTTCATCTCAAATCATGACTACTATTGAGGATGATTACTAGCATTGTTTTCTTGCCGCTAACCTGCCCTAAATCACTCACTAGGTTTGACGGATCTTTAAGCTTCATGAGCAAGTTCCTTTGCATCCTCCTTCATGGTTACACCCCGACTCTTCAGGAGAAGGGTTCATTTTTGTTTGTGATGCGGGGCTCCTTGGATGGCCAGTTGAATAAACTGGGACATATTTTGGTCCAACAGGAGGTTCGGCTGGCTTGCCTGCTTAGGGCAGGAATTATCTCGTCTTCTCCCTCCTACCTAATCTAATCCCTCCCTCAAAGAGGATCCACCCTTCCTATTCTATTGCTTGCCTTTTCCATCCCCTTTTCTATTTCTATTTCTTTCCAGTTACAATTACTTCCTATTCTATTGCTTGCCTTTTCTACCCCTTTTCTATTTATATTTCTTTCCAATTCCACTTCTTTCTTATTCTAACTACTAGCAATTGTTATATATCTACTATTTGAGTGCTTTAGAGTTAGTTTTTGGATTGTCTCTAAATTCAGTTTGTTGCCTTTGAGGCGTTATTCTGAGGTGGTGATCTTCTCCAAAGGTTTGAGTGGTGATTCGGTTGTTACTCGATTCGACGGGGATAGTTATCTTTCATTTATTTCGGTTGCAGTTTGCTGCCATCTTCCTGCCTGCTGCTGTCCAACCATCCAATCTCCTACTAGCAGCTAGTTTTTCTGTTTTCTACTACTGACCAACCATTCAACTGCCTTCCAATAGCCGGTCTTTCTGTTTCCTGCTATTGTCCAACCATCTAGTCACCTTCCAGCAGTCGGTCCTTCCGTTTCCTGCTGTTGTCTAGCCATCCGGGTGCCTTCCAACCGCCGATCATTCTGTTCCCTCAGCTGTCTGGCTGGCCCACCGCCTATTAGCAGTCGAACCTTCTATTTCCTGCTGCGGTCCAGACATCTTGCTGCCATCTGTACCGGCCCCTCTCTT